TAAAACTTTCAGAAAAAAAGTTCAGTGTCATGCTACAGACTTATTAATGCATCTACTGTTACATATGATCCAATTTCTGTATGTTACTCTAGCAGCAAAATACAGCATAATGTAACAAATTTTTATTAGCACAATGCCATGAGAGTGCCTCAACTTGAAGACTTTAAATTTTGCCCAAGCGAGATGACTAAGTCTACTAATTAGAGTTGTTTCCCTTATTCTTAAGAAAATACAAAAATATCCAAGAAAGAATTTGACTGATTTTCATTTCTCTCCAACAATAGTGAAATAGCAATGACAAAACTTTATGTAGAATATGCAAATAATTCTAAGATAAATTCTATAAAAAGGAAGTGCCTTGATACTGAATAGAGGCCACTAAAGTGCGATTGTAGATATGAAATAAAATAATGAAAATACATTATTTTGGTGGGAGGAAAAACAATGAGTGATTTCCTAAGAAAAATCTTATTTTAATGAAGAGTATGAAGAACAAAATTCTTGTTAATAGGAAAAAATGTTAAAAAGGAAATATGTATTAAGGACAAAGAAAAAAAGAAAATGAACAGATAAAAATCTGTTAACATTGTTTCGTTTGTTCAACACTTTCATTTTCAAGCTAATGGCAGTTCAAAGAAATTAATAACATTGAAATAGATAAACACAGGGGTTTCATTGAAAACAATCTAACCACTTAGTTATCTTAAATAATATCAATAGAAATTTGAAAATGATTTAGCCTTTACCTCTTCTGACAGCTGGATCCAAATATATTCATCAGTATAAATCTAATGTGATTTAGCAATTTTGGACCAGTGAAAGAATCAAGAAAGATATTCTGAATAAATTTGAGTTCAGATAAATTTAATTTTATAAACTAAATTCTTTTTCATAGATCATAATTGTCATAGAACTACTTTGAGATTTAAAGCAAAATTATAAAAAAAACAAAAAAACAATTGATTCATTAATAAACATATAGAAGTCAAGTTTCAATTAAATTTGATGCCTGAGTACCTTTATTTCATATTTATTAAGTTATTCAGTGGTTCAATGTCTTTAATCATAATTTTGATTTAATCAAATACTATAATCAAATCAAATGTAACTACTAAAGATTGAATTATAAAATATTGCTCAAAGTAATTCTCTGAAACTTTATTAAATAAAATCATTATTACTTGTTTTTCTAATCTATTACTTATACTCAGCAATAGATTGAAAGATTTATTGCTTCAACTTATTTTTTTTAAAAAACGAGTGATAATAACTGGAAATGGATAATTTATCCTACAATTAATCTACTCACAATAAAAATCAAAGTTTGGTAAAATACTGTATACAGTTAATTTTATTATTGTTATCAATGAAGAGTGCCAAATCGGAAAGTGTGTAAGTCTGAGAATTTCTCAAACCTCCCCTTTCATGAAGTCAAATACTGATTCATACTAAAATAATATATTATATTGTAATTTGATTTAATAATAAGCATTAAAAATAATTTATTTTCATGTTACAATTAAAAATCAATAAATATTGTGATTTATGATCCAAATTAGATGTATAGTTTTGTATAAGCTTACTATATTAAGAAAATGCAGCAATTTAAAAAAGATAAAGTTAAATGTTGACAATGTGATAGATTTTTAACTTTAGAGGTAAACTGCATCAAAAATGTCAAATAGTAAAGTAGAAAAACATTTTCTACAGAAATTTGCTTGTTTACACAAAAGTGTTAAATATTTATTATATACATCATATATGCTTATGTTTGTGTACAAAAATATCAAAAATGTATCAATATATAAAAGTTACTTCAGATAATTTGGAAAAGTAATACATTTAAAAATAATATATCTTTAAATATTTTCATGGAGCAATTTTCGTTTTCTTCTAGATTTAAATATCCTGCAACAAGTAAGAAAATGTTTTTTTAAATTAAATGACATCAAATTTCTGATCAGAAAATACTTAAAATACACAGGATTTAATTACCAATAAGTAAAAATATCCTTAAATAAAGTTTTTTAAAGCTACATTACCATTAGCTTTATCCAATTTCTACAGGTTTCTTAGCAAAAAATTATATACTCAAGTGCAATTTGTTTTTAACACAATATTGATAAAACTAGAAATATCCATGAACATTTCAGTTTTCTTATTTTAATTCTTAAGTTAACGATTGAATAAGCTCATGGTGATTGCTACAATAAAATATCTGTAGAAATTCCCCTATCACATGGTAAAATATTTCAGCTTAACAACTTTAACAAAGTATGGCAATAATAATCATAAATATGAATGCTGGTCATTATTTAAAAAATAAGTGGGGTACAAACGAAAAGATTTGAAATTGACAACTTTTTCTATTTCACTGAAACAGCTGTTAAACACTTTCATCTTTCTTTTTGAAACCAAGTAGTGTCGCTGATATGTCGTTTCCATCTTTGCATGTGATCAAACTGGAATAGTTCATTATTGGCAGGAGACATTAAACACTATCTTCTCTTTTCTTTCATTTTCTCATTCAAACCAAGTAGTGTCGCTGATATGTCGTTTCCATCTTTGCATGCAATAGTTCATTATTGGCAGGAGACATTAAACACTATCTTCCCTTTTCTTTCATTTTCTTATTCAAACCAAGTAGTGTCGGTGATATGTCTTCTGTCTTTCCATATGATTAAAACAGAAGAGTCCATTATTTATGAGATAGGTCAGGCTAAGGGAGGAACAAGATGAATTATAATAGGATGCTTAAACTTGGAGAATAAAAAAAAATTCCTAGTTCAATTCAGCCACTAGTCGGAGTATTTTTTTATTAAGTAGAAATTGATCCAAAATAAAAAATATGTCCAAGGTGGGGAAACAACTTCAGGTTTGTTTACTGCTAATTACACAGTTGGTTCTCTTCAGCTGTCTGCACTAACACCTATAATAGCATACTAATGTTGATATATCAATAATAATAAACTTAATGATAATTAGCATTTTAAAACAATTAAAATATCAAATATTCATGGGAACTGACTTAAGAAAGAAAGCATTTGTGTAAAATCATATAAAAATTGATACTGGAAATTCAACGAGGTTTTAGAGATTTTAATATCCTGGGGAAGTCAGAAAACCAGGATGCACTGAAGGAAAAACGAGCTGATAAAAGCAGTATGGTGGTTTGGGCAGCATTCAATTGGAAAACACTTGTTTTATTCATGTGGAAAGTTCTTTTCTTGCATACTATCTATCACTACATTACCAAAGACCAAGTATACCCTAAAATGGCAAAAAAGCCTTTGACAATAGCAGTGGCATCTTTCAGCAGAAATATATGTTCTGCCACAATGCATGAATTAACAATGGCATCAGGAATATGAACACTTTACTGTGATGCACTGGCCAGTAAATTTCAGATCTTAATCTTACTGAACACTAATGTGCTAAAGCAAAAGTTTAGTTCTGTTGAACTTCCACCATCTAATTTACAACAATTAAAGGATATGCTAGTAGTATGCCGGCACCAAATCTGATAAGTAACCTTTAAAAGTTTTGTAGGGTACCTGGTGAATCAGGTAAGTGTTTTGTGGGAATATAAAAGACCAAAACCTTGTTCTACAACTTGTATATGTATGTGTGTAGACAGAATCTGAGGATCATTCTGTACATGAAAGTAATAGTCATTTCTCTTTGGTCTTGGAATGTGTTCCCACTTGTTTTCTAGATTGGTTTTCTGCCAAATGTTCAGATTTGGTTGGTTGGGTTTTATGGCATATCAACCACTGTAGGTCATTTAATGCCAAATTTATATATATATATATATATACTAAATATATAGTACTATTAAACCTATAGCTGGCAACATTATTTTTTCAAAAACGTATAGCTGGCAACATTATTTTTTCAAAAACATTATCAGAGGCCTTGCTGTTGGACGTAGTTTATCATCATACCCAGGACGCGGATATAGTTCATCGTCATACCCAGGACGTGGGTAAGGTCTGGAAAAAACTGGGAGTTCACTATTTGCCCATAGCCGGGACCCCAACAGGTGCTACCACCCTGGGTCAGGGTGGACCTGGGAACACCAGCCATTAAGAGGTGGTTCCACGCTCCTCAAAACCTCCTGATCAGAGGCCTTGCTGTTGGATGCAGTTTAACGTCATACCCAGGACAAAGTTCAGATTTTGACTGGACTATTTAGTACTTTCTGTTTTTTGTTGAATTCAGGTTGTTTTTTTTTTTTCTCTCTTTTTCTTTTTGGCTGTACAGGTTTGGTTCATTTGTGTTTATTTTTTTTTTTTTTTTATATAAAATACATCCTTTGTCAACATACTAGTTTCTACATGTTTGAAATTCATGTGCAAACAAAACTATTACAGGACAGAAGTAGTAATATACACAAGTTGTGCAACAGATAGAAAAGATAAATAACTTATTGTTCAGCGGCTGGTAGCATTCACTTTATTCTGCTATGTTGGATACAGATGGAAGTACAGGCCATATAAATGAGAACGTTTATTTCTAATCATCTGTTCAATTTCAACCAAATGTAGATGAAAAGTATCTGAATATGAAAGCTATAGAAAATATTATTTTATACAAGTCAAATCCACATCAGCATGTACTTAGTTGGTTACATAATTTGTAGTGAGATTAATGAACACGAATTTAATTGATCACATGTTTTTCTTTAATCAGTTCATTTGGTAAAATTAGAAAATTATATCACACTAATCATAAACAACTTTGATCAAACAACATTATTGAATATACATTAGATGTTTGTGGAAGTTTCCAGGAAAAAAAAAGAAACGGATTTTTCCACTGAGTGTAACACTTGCAAATAGCTAATAGAGAATCAAATATATTATAACAAAATAAATTGAACATTCTAATATATAATCATTACAGACTGAAAATTTATGTAGGAGCTGCAGAAGGCAGAAGCAAGCAAGAAAATTAAAAAAAATAAAAAATAAATAAAGATAAAGAAAAGAAAAACTTACAAAGAAAACAGCGCCAAAACTGAAGATTTCTGAGGGAGTTCCTCTCTTCTGACAGAACCAGCTGGCTGACAAACGACATTGTTACTTTGGCATTTTGGACAGATATCTGCAAAAGAGGAAATAATCAAGTCAACTGAAGTACAAAAAAATGATTATGCAATTCAGTTATCAAGTTTTACATCATTACTTATACAGGCATACCCGAGCGATATTGTGAGTTCAGTTCTAGACAGTGATAACAAAGTGAATACTGAAATAAAGTGAGTCATACACATATTTTGGTTTCTAAGTGAAAATAAATATTTACACTAGAGTCTATTAAATATGCAAAATACACATCTATAAAGATAATGCATACAAAAATATTTTATTGCTGCCAAAGATTTGACAGAAACAGAAAGTGAGCAAATGTGGTTGGCAAAATAGTGTCAATCAACTTGCATGATGCATGATTTTATAAAAAAATGTGCAATATCTGCAAAGTAAAATTGAAATCAGTATGCCTGTATTAACAAGATTATTTTAGTTTATTTCTGATTATTTGAAATATCTAAATATATTCATGTATCAATGGACATAGAGATTATTTTCTGAAATAAAATCTATGGATACTCAGTTAAGCAGCTGTAGATTCTTGTCAGACACCGACAATTAGGATTTTAAAAATGTGGATTTTCAGAGCTAGTAAACGTGCTCTCCCTATTTACGAAGATTGGTGCAATATAATCTTCCTCCTTACATTTCCTCACCAGACAAAGCTAAGTAAATATTTAGACCAGAGAGTCAGGTTTAACGAGCTCATTTGAGAGACTAGTTACCAGTTATTAGGGAATGTGATTATCACAGAAAGCTGTATAACTGTGAATTTGTACAGTCAGCGGAGTAAATATTTTATAAATTAAAAGCAGAGTTTGTGCCAAATGAAGCTGAGCTTAGTTTTGTAATTTTTTAATAAACTTGCTAAGCTAAATTGTTGCATTCAAACTTTTATCGATTTTGTGTTATTTGTGAATGGTTCCAGCCAAATTTGATAATGGTTCTAACAGGTTTATTACTACTACCTGGGAATTAGTTATAAGAGAGTGGTTTGGCCAAGAACTCTGTCATTCAACCTGTTGTCACATGACAGTGAGAAGAAATTTTATGTTGAATTCATATTTTATTAAAGAGCATTAATACAAAGTGAACACATTATATTCTTTGGATGCCACTGATTTTGTCCTGGTTTTCTCAATCTTAAAAAGGAGTCATAAGAAAAATAGTTAATCTTGAAGTGTGTGTGTGTATATATATATATATATATAAAAACAGGAGAAATTGAATTCATAGACAATATCAGCAGGCAAGCTTCATATCAATAGCAAAGTTGGAAGATGAAGAATGCTCTTTACTCCAAAAATGCCAGTCTAAAGTATGCTTGGTCCTAACAACAAGTTGGCTAACAACTAAGCATTACTGTTTCCATGTACCAAAATCCCTATACAATTCTTGGCAACATCACCACATGCATTCACCCACTACCCTCTCCAAACAGCTAATTATGAAAGAGGATAACTCTTATTAACTGGTCAACAAATACTTCAGGGGAGAAACTGATTGTTCTTGTTCCAGATATATCTAAGTCGGGATCTCTTTTTTTGCTTGTCAGATTCATATATATATATATATATATATATATATATATATATATATATATATATATATATAAATAAAAAAGTAGGTCCTCATTTAACTATTTCATAAAATGTTAAATTGTTGATGTATTGATTAAAAAAGTTGAATAGTTTTAAAAGTATTTTCAAAGCGTTTCATAATCATATAAACACATGAAAAATTGTGGTACAAAAGTATTCAGAAAGAGCTACTGTCATTGTGGCCTATGGTTTTTGTCATTTGGTTTTGATTTGAATCATACTAGTGTATTGTTTAGTAAATATTGCTGCTGCTGTCTCTGCTATTTATTCATCAATACTGTTAGACATATTTTTTGAGGAAACAATTATTTCCTGTAGTTTTATTAAATTTTTGCAAATTTTATATATTACAATGTTTAATTTAAGAATGTCCAGTTTTTTCAGAGGCTGAAAATGATAGATATTGATTTGTTTTTATAGGTTATCAAATCACTCATAGATTATTTGAAGTAGAAATATACTTTTGATTATAAAAATACTTTTTTGTGAGTGAATATTGCATTAACAATTGTTTGAGAATAAGGTGATTTTTCCAAATACAAGTCAGAAGCTTGTAATGTATTTGACAAGGAATATTGCAAAGAAACTTGTTTATATTACTGAACCAATGATAGAAGTAATTTCACTTAAAGCTGCATTTCTCATGAACACATCAACATTGAGTGAAGTCCTAAAAAATTAGACACAAACATTTGTTTTGCAAAATAAAAGGCATGTTAAATGACACTTAGCTTTTATGCCATGTTTAACAAATGACATTGAATCTTTTGCATGAAACTACATTGAAGGTAATTTGCATAATTTTACTAGCAACATGGATTTTTAGTGACAAGACAGTTTGTATTCGTGCCTTTTTCAAGAGCAGAAGTGCAAGATATGAATACCAAGTAATCAAAATATAAAGTTTTGTCAGTGCAACTTACATCCTAGCTCATGTTATTTGAATATTAACTAAAAAAAATTAAAATATTAATATACAAATCTAAATACATAAAAGTGGACACACTAATTGATTGAAACCAATACTTTCTATATAGAAGTAACATAAGAACCCCTTATTTCACTCACCATGCATAAAAGACACATGAAAAAGAACACAAGTACATAACATATCAATCACAAGATACCTTCTGAGGAGATTTTATCATTTCTGCAAACTTTTTAGTAATCTATAAAATCAAAATAAAATGCCGAGATTAAAAAAAAAAGAAAAAGAAAAAAAGATGAAATTAAAAAAAAAAAAATGATTAACTATAATTAATATGGGAAACAAATATTTAATTATTAAAAGATGCAAATAGTTCCAAACCTTTTGTTTTTTTTGGTGTACCTCCGGACATAAGTGTTGATGGGGCAGCATCCTCAATTTTGGTAAAATTATGTGAGCATTTCAAGCACTTAAAAAAAAAAAAAAAAAAAAAAAAAAATCTTTAGTTTTTGTTTCCAGCAAACCCTTCCCCTTGAAAGCTTCATATTTTATCACTTCCTACAACCTGAATTATAAAGAAATATGCAAACTATTAGACCCATTATTTTGATATATTCTCTCAACTTCTATTTAACTATTATTTTTATGTACCCTTCTCACAGCTAAATGAAGACTTATTTTCTCTATCAGTCTCTGAAATGTTTTTCTACTGATTTACCAATTGAAAAACATTTACTCTTAAGTTTTGAAACTTGTCTTGCAAATATGACTGGGATTTTTGACTTACCATACAAACATGAATCAATGTACCATGAAACTAGAGTCCATGAACAAAGATAAACATTGAGTGTATTTTTGTACTAATTAAGTATTTATTCTCCTTAATTAAAATATACATGTTAAAATATTATCAGAAACTGGAATTGAATTATTCAAATTAAATTTAATGCTGCTTGAACACAATACTTGTGGAATTGTTAAATTTTTATCATTACAAGGTTTTCAAGGAGGAACAGTTTCATATTTAGTATGACTAAATGTACAAAATGAAAGATATCACTAATTCTTGGTTAATGAGACATTTGCAATAGAATCTGTTCCACCATTCTAAAATTATATTTTTTTTTATGTAAGTTGGGACTAATTTTCGATCTTGGGAGTAGAAATTGAAGATAATTTCTGAAGCCAATCATTTTTGTAATTTTTTTTTAAATGCTTACAAAGAAAACAGTGATTCTGTCTTCTAAAATCTTAACTAAATTGTCTTGTTGAATGTAAGTTGATATGCTTATTGCTTTCATTTGGTTCTATCTGCCTTGAAAATTTTAGATTTGTTGTTCTATTTTATGTTTAAATTGTTTTTCCAGTTTACAATTCCATTGTTTTGATTGATTCATTTTTTTATGGTTTATCAACCCTTTGTGGATCATTTCAAGCTCAAATATTTAGGATTCTAAGAATATTTTTCTCAGAGTGAATATTGCATTGATAATGTTTCCGAAAATAATGATTTTTCCAGATACAAGCGTTACTATTTAACCCATAACTGGAGGGGAAAAATAGATTCATACCTTTCTCAATGGTATTTGCCCATAAGTGACTAACAAACCAGACTGGGATTTGAACTTGGCTCTATTTCTCATTCTGAGCCACTATCCCTTACACTGCCTGCACATTCTCAATTCCACTGATTTTGGTAATATTAACATTGGATTAGTACGTAACAATATAGCCGTGATAAAGGCCAGTTTTAACATTTTGATCAAACTTCATAGAAATTTCTTTTTTAATATTAACTCATGAATGAGAGTTTTAATAAGCACTATTCTTTAGATCCAATTCATTTTTAGGGGTAGAACAAAATGTCCCAATAAAAATATTAGGTAGCAAACTTGAAAAATTTACAGAAATTAACTTGTATTATTAATACATTCAAGGATTCAAGTAATTTTAAAATTAGAAATTTAAAAAATGAGTACAAATTTCTGATTTATTGATACTGAGAGAGAGAGAAAAAAAAAAAAAAAGTTATGGGTCTCCAAAGAATCCAGAAATCCATTTACTTACCATCAGATGATGAGTTTCTTTTTTGTTCACCTTCATCTGATGTTCCTCCACAAAGGGTGAAATTATTTTTCCCAATTCCTGAAATATTAAGTTAATATTTGTAACAGATGAATGAACCAAAGTTAATCAAAATATATCTTCAGATAACCAGAAAATTAAAGTCTCAATTATAAACTTCCTCTGAGATATATTCAACCCAATGAAACCAGCTTTTTTTAAATCTATAAACTGGGATAAAGAAGAAAAAAATAAACAGTATTTACAATTTATTTATAGTGCATGTATATTGTTTAGGAAATTTTAAAATTTCCATTAGCAATAAATCTGCCAAGCTAATATAGGCCAGAGAAGATGAAGCATCACTATTGCATATGTGTTTCTGTATCTAGCTATATTGTGTAGAGATAATCCAGGCCAGAATGAGAAATTCAAGTCATATATGAATTAAAAAGAATTACATATCAAGAGAAGAATAACATTTAAACTAGATATTTGGATCAGCTTCTAAGGCAGAGAATAAGTCAAATTCTAACTCAAATTATTAGGTTGATGCAAAAGTTTACAGCATTCCCCCCCCCCATCAAAATCTTTTATTCATAACATCTTTATTCAAAATATTTTCACTGGCTTTCTATAACCCAAACTACCTTTCAGATAAATTATATATATATATATATATATATAGTAAAGGTAATAAATCCATATCACATCTCTTTATATGTTTTAAGGTTGTTTTTAAGTATAACTTTGCATCTTTAAATATTACTTGTTTTGAGATATTTCTTATTTTTTCTTTATATTTTTATTTCTAAAAGATATATTTTTCTTATCTTATTATATTTTGATATGTTTATTTTTAAATATAACCTATTTATTTATATTTAATATAATTTTTTTAAAACAAAATTTTATTCTTAAATATGAATTATTTAAATATGACTTATTTTTAGATATAACTTATTCAATGATATCTTATTTTTAAATACAACTTGTTTTTGAATATGATTTTTTTACTTCTAAGTATGATTTTGTATTTTTAAATATAACTTTATCTATATATTTTAAAGGTTTCTTAACTCCCTTTTTATTCCTCTCTTAGTTTTAAATTAACATTTCATTCTTCATATAATTCCAATTTAATGTCATAAGGTTTATATCTATGTTTAATTTTATAAAACCTCTTCCCTTCAAGACTAATACCTTCCACTCTCCCCTGATTACTGACTTGTGCTTTTTTGACTGACTAAAACATTGAAATGGATAAATTCTCTATTAGCTTTTAAACTTGCTAGGGGGGGGTTAACAGTTAAATTTCTATTTCTGACACAAACTTAATCTATACCAGGGTTGAATAAGACTGACAAATATTTTCCTTGGTTGAAATAAGTTTATTCCACATGAGGTAATTTTGGAATTTATTGTGTGTGCATATATATATATATATATATAAGGTCATCCACAGACAGACTGTTTCACAGCTCATCAGTGTGGCTAGACATCCGGTTGCCTCTAGCTAGGATTGAAACCCGACTGAATTGGTGTCAGTCGGAGATTCTACCACTAAGCTGTCGGCGCATGGCAGGGATGAAGGTGAATTTTAGTGTATTTATTTTTAGAAACACACAGTGACTGACAGTGACTCAATTCACTTTTGCGAAGAGTCTCGCTATATTAGCTATAATAGTCACTGTTTACAAATCCACACCTCCTCCCCAGAGAGCTCAAATATATATATATATATATATACATACACTATTTGGATACTGATTTGACAAATTATTCAGGAAATCTTATATCAAACTTGTTGAAACTGATGACCAGACTAGGTGTACAGCATGCTATAAACCTGAATGAAAGTGACAGATGTAAAAATCTTCTGTAGCGAAGAATTACTCATTGCAGTTCCATGAGTATTTGTTGCATCACATTTATAAACAGGAGGATGCACATTCCTTGTTAAAAAAAGAAAAAAAGTCTTTTCTATTCTAATGCCTATAAACAGTGTGTCACAGTTAACAGACTCACGTCTAATTTTTTTCTGAATGTATAAGCTGCACAAATTCATAAGGGAATTTTGAGGCCTTCAAGAGCATTCTTTGCACTTGAGCTGAATTTTTTTTTTTTTTAGCTTTTATAAACAATGTCTGGCATATACCTACACCATCATGACCATAAGAATTAGTAATCCACTTAATAACATTTGTTACAATTCACCATAGGTTAAAATTAAACAGTACCAAATGGGCATTTTATCTTCATCTAGGACTGACACCAAATTAAAGTAAAATCTTATTTTACTGCACACAATTTTTAAAGGGTATGCTTGCACAAACAAACTTATAAGATTTCCCTAACATTGTACAAAAGACAGTATAGAGAACTTTTACAGCACTATAAGTCCCACACATTTCACCAAGCTCCCAAGATGTTTAGTAGAGTTACAAGTAAATCAATTTCAGTAACTTTAATGTATCTGTTGAATTTGAATTTTGTAATCAGTACACTTAAAGTAGATAAAAAAACAAGAAATTCAAAATTAAAATCTAACGTCAAATTCTCAATTGCATGCTTGAAATGGATTTAATATCAAAATATCAGTAAAACTTCCATTGTTAATTACTCAAAAGATAAAATGAGATTAAGGAAGATAATTATATCAGCCATGAAAAACAAAAAGAATCAAGAAATTTCAAGGAAAAAGTTAAATAAAAACTCACATCAGCTTCATTTTCATCAATCATAACATAAGTTCTTTCTCTTCGGTTTGATTTGACATAATTAAACTTGAGTTTAATAACTGTCTGACCCTTTTTTTTGAGGAGAGACATGTAAGTTACACATTTCATGTCTAACCTATCAAGTTGACATCCCTGCAGATCTTTTTCAATAAGGAACCGTTCATCAGTAGACACAAAAATTTCTTCTGCATCTTCATCCAGACTCCGTTTCACAATAAAAGGTTCAGTTTCCATTCCTGAAATAAGAATACAAGGAAAAACTAAGTCAAAGTCCTTTTAAACCATTGTTAATTTGACCAAAATTTGATCAGATCATTTCCCTCCCCACCCCGACATTTGTGTCTTTATCTATAATACTTATTTATAAGTCTCACACAACATTTCAGCAAGTTCCCATGAAGTGGGAAAATGAAATAAAATCAAAATGAATAGGAAAAAAAAAAAAAAAAAAATATTTTTTTCATGATGCTAAGAGTAAAGGAACCGGAAATATGATCACCCCACTTGGCTTCATTAGGTGGCACTGGTTAATCTATACAAAGACAAACATTTTCCTGTCTTACTCTTTCTCTCCATTGCTCCAAGATGTAATTACATTTCTGCTGAGAAATATTAGTTTCCCTGGTTCACTGAACACTTTCACTTTCCAACACTTGTCTTCCAAAATCTCCACTTATGAAGTAAATCAACCTTTCCTTGGTCGTTTCACCTCAGCACAAGGCTGACTTGAACATGACCATTATAATGATGCTTATCCTTACCCTAACTTCTGAACCAAGAAAATGAAAATGGACATACCATATTTAAACCATCCAACAATAAAGTAAGTACAAACTTTTCTTTGGTTTTCCAACTCTGCACAAGGCTGACTTGAACATGACTATTAATATAATGTTTATACTTACTCTAACTTCTGGACCAAAAAGAAAACTGACATATCCAAGACACATTGAGAATTTTGTTTCACTACAGTGTATATAAAAAAAGAATTAATGGTCCAGGATAGAAATAAAGTTTTTGTATGCTTCTTATCTTTACATATGAACATGCAGCCACACCTAAAATACACCCCAACAGGCAACCATTAAATTTCCTAAGTTACATATAAATTGATTTTCAGTAACTAATGTATCTGTTGAATTAGAACTTTTTTTTTCTCATCTGAGCAGAATCTGATCACTATTAGGATCAATAAAGGATTAGATGCAACATACCATTGGAAAACTAGTAAACATTTAAACTATAATAAGTGCATACTGGTCTACTTAAAAAATAATAATAATAGTCATATTCTGTCAGTAATGTTTGCCTTAATTTCAAATTTTTAATCAGTTTTTATAGTAAAATCATTTACAAAGTGTTTCTCCTATACTAAAATCTCAAGCAATGCGCACACACACACACAAAATGAAAAAGTTATCCAATTTGAAGAATAATTAAGAAGTAGACTGAGTGACACTGAAGATCAACTTTGTTTCTTATCTTCATCAATGACCTTCCTGATGTCATCAGTTGTAACCTGGTATTTATGCTGATGATAAAACTATTTACTCCTGTCTTAATAGTAAATCTGATAGTTCTGATAAGGTAAAACTGGCAGCTGATCTCTAAAATATTGTTAGATGAGGCAAGAAATGGCTTGTGAACTTTAATGCCTCCAAAACAAAACTGCTGTCTTTCTTCATTTGAGATAATCATTTTTGCCTTCCATCAGTATGGCTGATGCTAACCTCCAAGAGAGCAACATTGCACCTTCTGTTTCAGGTTTTCCACCAACCTGAAGTGGAATGATTACAATGAATCAATTACAAGGTCTTCTGATAGCAAAATTGGTTCACTGTGCTGTGTTAGACAATTTTTCTTACTAGTATCCATCTTGCACATTTATAAATTTACCATTTATATCTTTGATCTCCATGTGAGTGTCTCCTGTAAAGGTTGACAACAGGCATAACAGCATTTTACTATTGATACTTCATGGGCAGGTAAGAAAATTATGGGAGAGTTGTTTGCCCAAGTGAATACATTGAATACTGCTGCCACATCTCGTCTGGTACTCCTGTTATATATCTAAGAGATTCTTGATAAAATCCAATGTAGGGCTTGTAATATTATTGGTCCTGATCTGGCATCTCAACTTTCTCATCAATGGGACATGGATTCACTGTCTTTTGTACAAATATTTTCAAGGCAATTGTTCTAATAAGCTTTCTACCTTGGTACCTCAACTGCATGAATTTAGACATTGTACTAGATTGGCAATTAGGTCTCATCATTTTACTGCTGAAATAGCTAGATGTAATCATAATTTCTATTCTAATAGTTTTTCTTGCACTTTTCACTTGTGGAACTCTCCCGACTTCTTGCTTTGCCATCTACAATCTTCAAAAGTTTAAATACAACATCACCATATTCTGTCTTCCTGAAACCTGTTTTTTGTTGACCTTTCTCCCTACTAATATTTTCTCATCTTTCACTCTCAGCAACCCAATGCATCTCAGTGGCATTATTGCCTTGCTTGGGGGTGAAACAATTACTGTAAAAAATAGCTACATGTAAGGTTAACTGCAAAAAACATGATTTTAGACAATCAATATCAGTTTAAGAAATGAATACAGATTTTTTTTTTTTTTTTACACAAATAATGTGAATGTGATGATAAAAATTTTGAGAAAGAGACCATTCTATTACATTAAATGTTTTCTTACACATAAATTTCTTACCATAATGAAATTCTATAGTTGACATTCTCTTGATATCAGAATCTATTTCATCAGATATGATTCCATTGTTTTCAGATTCAGTGTTGTGCTCTGAACTCTCATGAGAAAGGATAGACACCTCATCTGATTGTTCATCATCTGATTCTGCCTTTTTTTCAGCAGTTTCACAATTATTTTGAGTTTTCTTATTATCTTCTAGAAGTGGTTCCTTGATGCCAAGATAGGGTTCTCCTTTAACATCTTCAGCCATTGCTTCTTCTTCTGCAGGACTTGGGGGTTGATCCGATTCTTCATAGTTGCTCTGCTCTGGACTATTTGTAGAACCCTCCCTGTTTTCCCTCAGGTTCTCATATTGTTGTAACCAGTTGTCTCCATGGTACACTCTTAATTGTTCAATTTCCCGAATGCTCATGGATGTTACAGAACCTTGAGGAGATGATGCTGAAAAGAATAAAAACAAGAGTTTTGTTATTTTTTCAATTCATAAAAAAAAATTATGCATTTTATACACATGAAAATGCTTAGATAATAATTTTTTAATGTCTCAGAGTTTAATTTAATCAACAGTGATTAACAGGAATTCTAGAATATACATAAATGCTTGCCTTTATTTCTGACCACTGATAAATTTTCTTATTTATTTTCAATACTAAGAAGAGCACTGGAATGTGATTAAATAAATATAAAAAATTACAAAATTAAATATTTACATTTTAACAAATGTCTTCATCTTTGTCATTATTATCAGAACATTTCAGCTGTTGTGCCCATTAAATTTCTTCGGGCTTCTGTTGATCCAAATAATTTTCAGGGAATTTCCAAATGAACCCCTTATTTAATCTATAGAAGCAGATTGGACAACTGAATTAGAACAATGTCTAAGAACATCTTGTTTTTAGGCTGGAATGTGTAACAGCTAAAATATGGTAACAAAAACAAAGATGAAGACATTACTCCAAATGTAAATAATAAAGTCTCATCCCAGAAATGTTACATTATTAAATTGCACTTTGAAGCACTAATGTTACTACTAAGAATTTTATCCCATCTGCAGCTTTATGAATGACCATCTTTCTGCATTAAAAAAAAAACAAAAAAAAACTCACGTGTGCATTATTACAAATTATTTAGAGATGTGAAAAGGGAGTCTACATTCTTAGTATGTTTCTGAATATTTTGTATTGTATTTTAAGCAAAATATAATTATTTAATGATATCTTAAATTATAAAATACTGTATTCAATGTATATGCTCATGTTAAAAATATAACAGAAATTTTGTCCTGTAAATTCTTTCAGGATCTGTTACATCACTGAATGAAATCTTTGAAGATTTTGCAACCATGCTCCTGATGTATAAAGAGTCTTTGTCAAATTCAATGATAGGAATCAAAGTACAGAGTTGAAAATATAATCAAATTAAATAATGCTGAAAGGGCACAAAAAATTCAACAATAAAAAAAAAAAAAAAAAAAAAAAAAAAAAAAAAAAAAAATTAAATTAAAAATTCAATGGTTTCCATCTTGATATCTCATTGTTATGGTGGAACACACCTATTCTATAGTTAATAGACGCTCCCACCTAATATAAGTAGAAGTAGTAATAGTAATGAGTTGGGTGGTCGGTCAGTCAGTCGATGTCGGACGACAGTTAGTCGAATATGAAAGTATCAGCGACCACAACTAGATTACTCTGCGTCATGCCTATTATATTAAGTTCCTAATGTTTTGTACGTCGAACCTATTTTAGGACCGACTTAGTACAAAGACAAGCCTCCACTGCAAAAGCACTCCACAACACTCATAAACGTCTGAACATTTTTCCACAACACTAGGTATTCTGAAAGTTCAATTTTAAACTTAATCTCTACATACTTCATATCCCTCAATGTATTATCACATGTATTTCATCCTTTAATATATTATCCCAAGTGTAGGCTTTTCTGTATTTTCTTTTCAGAACATCACAAGTCAATTTACTTGTAGAATTTTGAGTCTGAACAAAAAAAAAAAAAAAAAATCTAGGCATCTGATTTCAGAGTAAAAACTTCTGCCCAGTCGCACTAAATTTACAAGATCAATCACAAAGCCAGACTTAGAATTCCAGCTATTACTGTGTGTAGCAGATGATTACTTTTAAAATAGACTTATTTAACAATCACAGGAGGAGGAGGATGTGAATGTTGCAATAAAAAGCAACAGAGATTAAGACAAAAGAAATATTAGTAAAAAATAAATAATTAGAAAGCTTCTTTTATTTTAATACTAAAATTATAATACTAAAATTATAATACTAAAATTATAATACTAAAATTATAATACTAAAATTATAATACTAAAATTATTACTGTGAGGTGTCGGAGCAGCAGAAAAAAAAAAAAGAAGAAAAGTAAAAAAAATTAATAACAAGCAATATATTCATAAAACTACGACTCTACCAGTGGCCTGTTTGGTGTCTGCAGTAGCTGAATATTTAATATTGACACCAGTGGTCATTGTTCAAATTCAAGAAAATGTCTTGATTTCAAGAGGTCACTACATTTGGAAGATAGTCATCACACAATCTACCCATCCCCATACAGCTTGTGTTGCAACACACTAAATAAAACTTTAAAAATATTGACAATTTTCAGCTCAAATTATTTATGTTCACTTACAGAATTGGAAAAAAAATCCCTTTTACTGAGTATTTTGACAGTAAGTGGAGGTGAAAGCTGGTTGCTGTCATGCATTAATAATTGACTGAGAAGAGAAAAGGGATCACTTGGGCAAACGACTCTCCCATAATTTTCTTACCTGCTCATGAAGTATCAATAGTAAAATGCTGTTATGTCTACTGTCAACCTTTACAGGAGACACTCACATGGAGATCAAAGATATAAATTGAGTATTTATGAAATGTATCAATGCTCTTCAATGAAAAAGATTTCACAGAAATTCTGATAGCATATGAAGTCGGATCAGTATATCTATCCATTAGCTGAATTTTTATCTGAAATTTTCTTTACATAATTATCACTATATGATTAACATTCAAAATGGAGTTAAATACATAACAAGGAAGGAGATCATATTGAAAAATATTTGCTCTTTTAATATGCTTTATTTATCATTTGGCTGCAGCCTTGTTGATATACTTAGATTTACAACAAATACAGTACGACATGCACAAATAAATGGAATGACAAATATCACAGACAACATTCATGATTGACAAAAATAAAAAAAAATATCAGTATTGGAAGGTTTTCTTTCTCTTTTGATATTTGTACTTATTCTTTCTATTTTATTTAATAACATCTTAATCAGTAAATTCTCCAAATCATCCTCAGTTGGTACAGGATGAATCATTGTTACTGATGTCTGTACATTTGCAGTAAATCTTGACTAGTGCTTATTATCCCTAATCACAAAATGACAAATATCTTACAATCTACAAATATTTTCTGGCTTTAAAGAAATTGCAAAGGGTTGATAAACCATAGGAAATGAATGAATCAAAAAACCCCAAAATATGATAAAATCATGAACCTATACAGTTAAGAGATCAAAGTGAAGTGGTAAGTAAAAGAGAGCAAGGTTAAAATATTTAGAACATTAAAATAAAAAATACAATGCTTTCTTAATTTATATAACTTAATAAATGATGGTCCTTCTATTCATGGATAACATGTTGAACCCATGGATTTTCCACAGATGTTGCTAACCAAGATTATCAAGCCTTTCATCTATTCTCATCTGGTAATTACATCTTATACACTATCATACATATTTCTTTGTTACCTCTCCAAGATTTTATCTAATGTACAAACATGGATTAGCTTCATGCGAGAAAGGGACAAAAAATTCAAATATTTTGTATTGTGATCTTCCTTTTGCTCTATCACTCTTGAAAGAATTTTAACAGTGCAATTTTTACAGCTTACTATCCCTATCAATTTTTATACATCATATTTAGCCAGCAAGTTTGCAAGTATCTGTGTGTGTGTGTGTGTATATATATATATATATATACACACACACAGCAATGGGCAAATTGTCAGCATATCATATTTTTAATTTTGCTTATGCATATTGATTGTTGACTGCACAGTATAGTAGGATCATCTGGGTACCATCTGTGAGAAAAAGAGCACCATGACACAATTCACTCTGCTAGAAATTTGGAAATGGCATGTTGTGCTGCTTGGCATTCCTGCTGGAAGCACCAATATGAATATTTCAGAGTTTTGGGGCGTCAATCTAAGGACAGTGCAGAGGATATAGAAAATGTGTTTACAAAGGTGTTAGGAGTGATCATTAGTGATGGTGACATTATGTCCCCCATTCATCTTCCAACAGGGCCTCAGACTCAACATGGAGGCCTACATCAAATGCCTTTAGGAGGTAGTGCTGGCCTGGGTCAAGAGGTTGAAGTCAATGGCAATTTTATTGAATAAATTTACACATTAGTATTTAAAGATATTTTTGTGTAATTTTGATAAATATATCTGTTAAAATAAGATGTCAGTGTCATTTTCATAATTTAGAGGACAACTTATACATTGTACCCGGTGTGTGTTATATATATATATATATATATATATATATATATATATATATATATATATATTCAAATAGTCCTGACCTATTAAAAATATAGATATCAATATAAAAAAAAAAAATGCGAAGTTTATTGGTCACTTTCTTCACTTTTCAAATTTTTTTTAAACGAGTTATCGCCCTTGAGTAAACTTTTAACACGAGAGTTGTGAATATTAAGCCTGTATATTCTGGATAGATGCTTTCTGCTAAAAATTTGACATTTCAGCCAAAATCTAAAGACATTAAAATAAAAAGAAAGACAAAAAAGAAGCAGCAAAAAGGGTTACACAAAAAACAGAGGTTAAAAATGCACAATTTCCAGGTACCCATTGCTAGAGTATGATGCCAAGAAAAATCATTTTGCCATCAACCAATCTTAGTGTTGGAATAGGAATTTAAAAAAATTAAAAAAAAAAACAACTTTTTAACAGCTACATTCTATTGATCAGGTTTCTAATTGCTTGTATAGTTCAGTGACTTAGTTGAGATTGTTAGGTTAAAAAGTACATAATATATTTCCAGTAAAAGGTGAGACATTAGTTCCAATTACTTTTTTGGAATCATTTTACTCCAAGCAAGGCAATAAAGCCACTAAGATCCAAGGGTAGAAAAACTATTGAGAGAAAACAATAAAAGAACAAGAATTCAGAAGACAGTAGTTAATGAGTGACATCATTTTAAAATTTTTGAAGATTGAAGTTGACTCGGAAGCAAGAAGCTGGAAGGGAGTTCCACAAGTGAGAAGTGTGATGGAAGAAATTGTTAACATAGAACTTATGGAGGATTCTTTAACTAGATACAAGACCTATCCAACAGCCCACAACTGTGACTTTATTACAAAAATTACATATGCAGAATTAAAACACTATTCCATAACCGTATACTGAAAAATCAGTATCATTTTGCACTGAATCAGGTAGTTTTAAGATTGGTTTTTATTTTGTGTCTATTTTGCAAACAAATTCTTTTATAATTCATTATTATATAAAGGTGGGGACATAATTTGGTTTTAGTTGTATTTTGTAACCAAGTGTTTATTCGGTTTCCTTTTTATATTTTGGTGTAGAGTTTTGTTACTTTTAAGAATTCTAGAATGGCTTTGAGTTCAAGACTCTCAAAGAGGGCACCAAGGTTGGGTACACTGTAGAAATATTATCATAAGTGCCAGTTTTTTTGCAGTTAATCAAAAAATGGAACATCTTCACTTTTTAGGAGGAAGGAGTGGTTTATGTATGTGTGTCTAGTACTATGATGTTGTATAGTCAGAACAGCTTTTATTTGATATAGTTTGCTGGTTGTGCGTGTATTCCATGATTTAGGTTACATGAAGAGGCAGTTTATACAGATAAGAGGGGAAGATAAGGGTCAACCCTAGACTTGAACAGGTTAAGATTGTAGTGATCAGGGAAACATTCTCTTGGTAGCTGGTTCCATAGAGCAGTGGTTCACAGGAAAAAGCTGTTCAAGTGGAACTTCTCACTGACAGAATACAGAGGGAATGTAGGTGGGGTTGCTACAATGCAAGTAACAATTGAGAGATGTAAGCTAACAAAGTCTGTCCTGAATATAAGAAACTATTTTTTATAACTAGAGAACCAGTGGCATTGCTATGATATAATTTTACAACTAATCAGAAGATCATAGTACACACATATGAACAGACAGTACTGTGGGATTGACAGGGAATTGCCATCAAGTGAAATTTTGTACTATGTGATTTTCGCATTCACAATTGTCAAGAGAGTAGATCCTTTATATCATTTGCAGAATTTCTTAGCAAAACATTATATCACCCAAATCTGTCCAAATTTGCCTACTTATGACTTCTGGCATTTCAAAAAGGTTTTAAAAAAGAAAGGGAAAAATCATTGATGAGATTAAGTAGAATATGACCAGACAAGGTGGTCCTGAAAAAGGACAATAGCACCATTGCCCTAGGTAGGCTATTTTTTGTCAATATTAAATTACTGGATATTTATTACATAGACTTCAGAGATTACAAAGATCTAGCCAAAATAGAAAAGTCTGCTTAAAACAAGAGCCTTATATTTAACTTGATCAATTGAACAAGATCATCTTTTCAAGGACACCCTTCAGAAAAAAAACAAAAACAAAACAAGAAGCCTAATTTTTTCTTATACAGGTTTGTTTTGTGCTTCAATATGGGATTAGATGTGTGGGTGGTATCACAGTTATCAGTGCTAAAACTTTAACCAGCAGGCATAGTTAAAATTCCAGCTGAGACTTATATTCACTTTGCACTTATGGGAAAGGCATGACACCATTTCCCCTCTCACCAGGTAGGGGTTAAATCATTGGGTAGACTGGGCTCTCTAGCCTTTTTAGAGCAATTAGACTGGGAGAAAAATAACTGAATTCAAAACTAGAAAAAAGGCAACAGGAAACCATTCGATTACCTTTCCCAAGTACAATCATGGCAATACACAATTTACAGATATTATAAAAGGAACTGTAGAGAGCCATGATAATATTTTAAAGGGACATGGTAGTAAAAAGGAAGATGTGTGATTAATTAGCTAAAGAGGTGCACAAATGAAATTATATAAGTATTGATGTCTGATGTAAAACCTACAATATGTTTTAATTATTATTAAATTTTAAAAAAGGAAGATAGCACAAATGTGAATACTTAATTACAAAGCATTATTTCCTTTCATGTTATAAAAGGATGTAACAAACAAGCCTCTCAATCACCCCCCCCACCCATTACAGTGATAGTTACTCTAGTTCAGGCCACCTGGATTTGGAAAAGAAAAAAAGCAACTGAATATAACAAAAGAACAATTACTTCTGGAACTGTCACTGCCAGTAGATAATTGTGGAATAGGGGAATTACGTTCACTGTTTATTTTGCCACTTCTGCATGTCTTCTTACACTGAGTTCTCTTCTTTTTAACTGGTTCAGCAATCGGTTCTTCTTCACAGTTCAAATCAGAAATTCCAGAATCACAAATTGTGTGACTTGATTCCATTTGAGGCCGAAAGTAAAATGATGCACTTTTTGTAATCTTGTTTCTTTGAATTGCTTTGGAGGGAAAAAAAAAAAAAAAAAAAAAAAAAGGCAAAAATGAATATTTTTTGTACTAATTATTTTTTTTTTTTTTTTTTACTACTGTCAATGTCAAAAGTGAATTATATATGCACATGTTATAAATTAATAGAGCACAGTAATATTGGATTGTATGTGTGAATAGATATATAAGAAATGTTATTAATGATGAATTCTAAGAATGTTAAAAGTTGTTACATATTATATTAATAAAATCTATTTTGCAATCTCTTTTAATTGTGGTTAATGTGTTTGAGCAGGTGCTGGTATTTATGGATACATGTAGACATCAATTCAGATCTTGTGTTCAGCAAGTTAGGGTTATTTAAGTGTTTTAATATAATAAACTTCAATAAACACAAGTTACATCTGTCACCCTCTCCATTATATGACTTAGATTTCATGATTATCTCCCAGTTAATGGTCGAGTTCTTATGCTTGATTTGTTATAGCCAAACATACGCTGAAAGTGTTGTGCAGTTTTTGTATTTGATATTGCTCAGTGTCATTTTGTGGTGGTAATAATGCGATTTTCAGTAACATTTAACATCATTGTCTGAATTGATCATAGCTCTGTATATTATGCATTCAGTCATGCACTAGCCATTTAAATGAGCAGGTTATGTTTTTACAGCAGTTGCACTGACTTTTAGTATAATTATTTTTTAGTGTTTTGTTTGGGAGTTTGCTTTATACATTGTTATGTTGGGATATGTAATTATCTATGCTTTTTTGTACAGTTATAGCTTACCTTAATGTTATTTTTGTTGAAAATCTTTTTTAGTGTTGGAGAATGACTGAAGTGTTTGTGAATTAAATTCAGGAAAATTCTACCTACATTGGTTTTGACATTAATATGGTATGGTGGGTTGAACCACATTATGTTACATTTACAATGTTTTAGCTTATTTTTAACTTTGCTGTTATTTCTTACTACACACTCTAATTTCACATTATGGTTGTTGCATTCTAGTGCCTTGTTATCTAGCTTTATTATTGTCAAATATATCTTTGTTACTGGAATTGGTCAATAACCTATATTGTACCGATTTGTGCAAATTGTCAAGTATCCTTTTATGGTGGTTGGATCTTCCGTCAACATACTTGTGGTTGCATAAATCCTTAGTGTATGGTTTGTACATGCCGTTACTCAGGATTGATAGATAGATAGATAGATAGATGCATGCATACATACATACATACATATTCTGTGTATTTAAGCAGCAAATGTTCTTTAAGGTAAATACTATTAAAAATGAAAGACATTTTGTGTTGACTAATTTTAATGATAGACTTTTCCAAGTTATGAATAATCATTCATGGACAAGGAGGAAATTCTGTCAGAAATTGTCTGAAGTTCATTTTAGAAGACAAGTACAGGAAATACGGTCCAAGTTTTTGTTTTTCTTAAATCATCAGGGTAGGTAGAGACAATTGGTGGGTCTAATAAATTTTTGAACTGGTGTAACAACACTATTTTTTTAAAAATAAGCTTTTAGAAGTATATGATGAAGGTGTGTGGAGTGCATTTTGGGAACTAAAATTGTAGAACTAATGAGTGTTGTCATATCAGTAAAGTTTGATGTATATTTTTTTGTTTCTTTTTTATATATATTTAAGTTATAAGTTAAGAGTATGTATCCTTAAATGTATTTCATTTTACTAGATAGGCATTAAACCACATTTAATTTCCTGATGTTATACTATTTGATTTTCACATCATAAGACTACATTGTGTACACGTTTTAATATTTACTCTTATCCCATACATGTTCACATTTTTGTAAAGGTAAAAAAAAAAATATTTTGTGAATTAATTGATGTAAAAATTCTGATAGAATCAACAAAGTGGCAACTGCTAGTTTCTTTATAAAAAAAAAAAAAAAGAAAGAAAAAGATGCAGAGTATAGTAAACTACTGATTCTATTCAATTTTAGATATTTATATGAGGGTAGGCTGAAAACTTCATAGGCTGACTATGAAGGAATGGATGCTACAGCTGTCGAAATCTTACATGCATTAATTTCAACTCTTCTACAGCTTTAGCATCCCATTTTCACAGTCAGCCTATGAACTTTTCAGCCTACTCTCATAAGCCCAGACAAGACAGAGTACTAATTTTAGAATATGAGAGAATTAAAACAGCCACAATATAAAGATTATACAATAACTATGACTGATAGAAATAGAAAATAGTTTGCCAAATTTACTTACCTTCAATTCAGAATAGGTTAAAGACTTGCCATCTAAGACAATCTGAAATAAATACAAAAAAAAAAAAATCACAAAATTTATATGAAATGATTTTCACTTTAAGATTAGTTCAAATTTCAAGTACAGATAACATACATTTTTCTGATTAAAAGTCTTAACTTTATCTAAACTTGAAACATATTTACAAAAGTGGGTTACAAATACTAATCTAATTATTGCTTTGTGGATAAACAATGCCAGATGATGAGATTTTTTTTTTAATAATCTGATCATAAGACTTTTGTGAAAAATTGGTAAGTATTAGATATATAAATTAGCTGATAAACAACTAAACTGAAGCTAAACTGAAAAAAAAAAAGCTAAATAATGGTAAACACAAATACTAATTTGTTATTGTCAGGAGCAATAATAATGAAAAAATGAAAAAAATAAACACCCACCCAAAAATAAGAAAGAAGCAGCACTGTGAATATCTTGATTGACTTTCCATTACAATTATATGGAGCAGATTAAAAAACTAACTCAAAGTAAATCTTTAATTATTTTTTTAAAACTGATAAGTCTGGTACAAGGCTACATATATGGAGCTACCAATGAGAAACTTACTTCAGTAATAATTTTATGCAAGACCATCTTGGAAACCACTACTTCATGTCCAGCTTTCCTGTTCCTTTCTAAATATTTATTTTAAAATATAAAAATATAAAGTGGTGGTGCTTTATTTTCAATAAGCATCATTCTGATAACAAATCCTTATCACTTGTCAGAACACAAACCAACTCTGGCAATTAAACTATACTCGTAGCTACCTTCACGAAATCGCTAAAAAAAGAGCATAGCTTGATGAATAAGACGCCAACCTTGCCGAAAACAAAATTTTATTGTCGAAATACTTATGTTATTATTAAGAGGAAAGACCAAAGTTTTTTTTTAATTATTTTTAAAAAAAATTTCCTTTTTAGAACATTCTAAATTTTGATTAAAAAAACCTTTTTTCTATTTGTATCAGCGGAACTAGTAAATAACAGACAATTTTTAGCACATTTTTTTGGTATGACACACATTAATTTGAAAAATCGTGCAAAAATAGAAATAATTATCGGATGTTAATGAAACTTTCAGGAACTATTCACAGATGATCGAAATTATTATAAATATGTTTTTTTTATGAAAGTCATGGTAGAAATATTTTTTTTAAATATTTATTACCCCCCCCATAACTAATTTTATGAAAATGCTAGAAATTCGATCGCATCGGTTTTAGTGATTACAATAATTAAAAGCACAGGGCTTTGAGGAATGCAAATCATGTTTTTTTTGTTTTTAATTGGATACGCAGTACCTGAAAATCAGCTCTGAATTGTAACATACAAAACTCAATAAAACAAAGATATTATTTAATTTCAAATGCTTTTATTTGCTTTTAGTTGTTTTTAGTTGTTTTTAGGAATATGGACAATATTTTCTGAAAGCAAAAAAATTTTTTTGATGAAAAATGAATTTTTAATACAATTATTTGTTATTTCATTAATTATAATACATTTTACATTTAAGTTGTTAAAATATTATAAAATTAGTTAAAAGTCAAGATCGGCTTTCATAAGTGTCCTTATGAGATAGATCTTTTTTAGCGCGTTGTAAATTGTATCATTTTGACTAATCAGAAGATCCCCAGTAATTAAGAAATGTAATTTTGTGCTTATAATCGAGCTGTAATTATAAAATACGGAAGACCAACCAGAATATAATTAAGTTGCGTTATTTGAGTTAAGCATTGTTCTCCGCTGTTAAGGCCTTTACTTTTAGTAAACACGTGTGGAGAAGTTAATTTGATTTTCAATTTCAACTGAGAAGGGTACCTACAAGTATCAGTATCATCTTATGAAATTTATATGATCTTATTTTATATTAATCTCAGTTACATTTTTCCATAAATGAAATATCAAAATTAATAATAAAATGAATGCAAATATAAATAACAGTAGAATGTAATAAATGTACATAAAATTATAGTATTTTATGTACAATTCTGATAAAATTTCATAAGAAAGGTACCTATAAATTAATTAGATACCTTTCTTAAGAAATATGAAATTTAATGTCACTCTTAACAGTTTTATTTTAATTTCTTTACAATATATTTCCCATAAAGCATCATAAACGTAAAGGTGAAATGCTAAAAAAAAAAAAAAAAATTAGACCGCTGAAAGTTTTCGTTAAAAATAACGGGGTAAATAATTTGTTCACATAAGTGTAAATTATTTCACTTTTCTCCTTCCGTAGAACAAATTAGCCTCATGGAATTCGTAAATATATCATTCATCACATGTCAAGAGACGCGAAAGTTTATGACCTGCTTTGTTTTATTTTCAAATTACATCTTTTTGGCACAAAAGCTAAGTTAAGTTTGGTTCAAAATATTTTAAATAAACATTATAATTTCTGATTTTCTTAAAATAAGTTTTGAAAAAAAATGATAATTGATATTTAAAAAATTTCAAAGTCAGATTTCCAGTTTTTTTTAAATGGAAAAAATGGTCAATTTTGCTGACTCAAAAAAAATAGATTTTTTAACGAAAATTTCGGACATGCTAGGAACGATTAAAAAATGGAAAAAAATACCCCAAAAATACTTTGACCTTTCCTCTTAATAATAACAAACATTTAGACGATAAAATTTTGTTTTCGTCAAGTTTGGCGTCTTTTTCATCATGCTATGCTCTTTTTTTAGCGATCTCGTGGAGGTACCTATATACTCGTCATCATAGACTATAAAGAGTAACAAACAAGAAAAATCTCAGAGACAAAAATTGCTTCAAAATTATTCTTCATAGTTTTCAACTTGTTGAAGATCTTTAGGACTTTCAGTTTAAGACATTCTTCAAGTAAAACTTCATGATTTGTTCATATGCATTAAACTTTTAAATAAGTATACTGTGTATTTTTTCCTCTGAAGAGAAAAACACTGACTGAACTAATCAACAAAGAGATAATCACTGAACTAGCATTCTAATCAATTATCTACAATATGAATAATTAAAAATGTATTTAATTATTTTATATAACAGAAAAGAAAAAAGTTACACTAACAAATGATGAATATTATCACATGATTTATAATATATTTACTAACTAGATTAACAATGACATAAAAATTACAGTATGAAATTGATATTTAAATCATTTGTTTTCCATGTTAAATCTTCAAATCTATTTTTCCCCACTTATTATTTTTATATTTTACTCTTTCACAAACTTAGTCTTTCAATTATCCAGCTTCATAAACATCTCAGTTAGCAAGCCATTGTCATAAAGTGTAAAGGAGACAACTAGCAGGGTGAAATGTTAAACATAAAATGCATGTGATGTATTACAGATGTAGACTACAAACAAAACTTCAATAATTATTTGACAAGAGTACTTCACTATAGAGCAATGTGGTTTGCAGATTTGTCCTGCAGATTGCTATGCCTGCAATGAATTCTGGGAATTCCAAAATTGTGGCCTTGCAGCAAACAAAGATTAGTTTACTAAATACCAAATATTTATCACCAAGATATTTCTTTTTTAATTAAAATTATGAACTATAATACTGAATGTTTTCAATTAACTTATATGAAGAATTAATGAATAGATACAGTTTTAAATACGAAACAATTATGGCATGACTTTTTGCCTTTATTTTTCTATCAAGTTACTTAATTCACAAAGAAGATATCAAAGTTTTTTAGACATAATGCCTAATGCTATTATGCAGTTGTTTTCTTATTCAATATTTTTATAGTTATTTACAAATTTTTAACAGGAAAGTTGCATATAGTCATCCATGATCATTTAAAAATAAGCTAGTAACAACAATTTTACATTTCTACTGCTTAATGATAATATTAAATTTATAGGAGAAAAAAGTAAACAACCACTCAGATATTGAATAGTTAAAGAAAACAATCACTTACCCCATTACCATTCACTAGTGGGGATATGTGACCCACAGCTTTTGTCCGATGATCTGCCCTGTAGGTCATGGGATTATCAAACAATGACAACTGAAATTTAATATGAAATAAAGAGACAAAATGAACAAAATATTTGTGAACTTTAAAATTACAACCTTGTTTTAAATACTTTTCAAATTTGTTATTTTACAAAAAGTTTGTTTTGTGTCATGAAAAATAGATTTAACATCTTTTATGTGGGAACTCTTGAAAAAATATTTTTTTTTTTTATCGACAATGAAAAAAGATCTTAAACAAAGGAGAAACAAAATCTTACTTTCTTGAGCCGATGCATCCCTGAAATGACAGCAAGGCAAGAATGGTCAGAGAGCAAATTCCCAGAAACATCCAATTCAACTAAGTGTCCCAATTCTTCAACACCTTAAATAAAAGAAAAAATTAGAAACAAATCAAGATAAAGATAAAAATAAATAAAAACAAAAATTACAAAAATGTGCTATCATTTATCATTTAAATTAGATAATACATCAATAATTGAAAGCTGAAAGATCTGATCGAGTACTGAAAAGTTCATGACTAAAACAAAAAGTCCTTCAAGGAATATGGATATTTGGTCAGATTTGGGGAAGCAAAGTAGAACTTTTCAGCACCTCTCAATCAATTTTACTGAAGCTTTAAAGACATTTGCTATTTTATAATCTTAAACAAACTTACCATCTAAATTATACAGGGAGTTGTTTCTCAAAATCAAAGAAGTTAAGGAGGATTTTGTATGGAAAGACAATGATGGTAAGCCAGTGAGGTGGTTGAAGGCTAAATTGAGTCGTTCTATATACAATAAATTCTGAAAAAAAAAAAAAATCAATAATAAAATTTTGTATATTCCTTTACAATTCGCATTGCTAAATAAATACCAAAGTGTGAGTTAATTATAAAGAGCGAGTTCCAAACTGAATTATCTTATATTTGAAATAATTTAAGTGTGCACAAGTTCCCAGCACATTCTTTTGCAAAACTAGAGGCTGGAAACATTGTAGAAAATTTTGTTTTCTTTTTAAATAAACACTGAAATTTTCACACCTAAGGTGCTCAGTTCAGAAAAGTAAGAAAAGACAAATTAAAGTTTGTAACATTCTAGCTCTAAAAATTACAAAGAGTTGCTTTAAATTTTATTTTACTTGTCATATTCTGCAAGTAGATGCCATTAACTAAGACATGAGAAACAAGTATTTTAAAGGAAATTAATAAAAATTGATTTAATACTGACTTACTTCTAAATATCTGCCAGTTGTTTTCAGATTGTTGTGACTTAGATCAAGAAATTTTAACATGGGCAGTAGACTCTGAAATTAAATAAAAAGTTATTTCACATTACACAACAATTTATAAAATTAAAGAATTTATATAATGACAGTAAGTATTACAAAAATAAATTTGAATCTAACAAATAGCAAACATTTGGGTGAAGCATTTTCAATCTAAATATATTTATTCAATTCATCTGAAATGGTTTGCTTAACAGATGTTACCAGTTGTTCACACCCATGAGCCAGAACTTTTGTTTCAATGAATTACATAAGTGTAAAGAGTATATAAACAATCAAAGAAATTCTATTAGGGCCATTTCAATCTTATTCAAATTAATTTTTTATAACTGAAGATAAAAAATATGAACAAAAACATCCATACAATAAATGCAAAAAGACAAACACACGTGTGTGTGTGTGTGTGTGTGTGTATATATATATATATATATATATATATATATATGGCTCTCTGATTCCTCAATCAGAACTGCTACCCACTAGTCCACCATGCCTCCTACATCCCAGTTGAATCCATTACCATCACTTACGTGCTGTTACCCTTGAGAAACGTATTAATCCTCTTCTCCCGCCAGCTATGGGTAAATATATACAATATGTATATGACAATACAAGAAAGTTGTTTATAAACAATGGTTTCAGGTCACCAGAATTGATTGTTCTTTTACCAAATTATCATAAATCAGAACAAGAGAGGATTTATTCTTTTTTGTATCTAAATGAAAGAGCAGCAAGAAAAAAAACTCCAGTTTTTTTTATTTTTAATTCACAAATTACTCCAATAATAATAAAATTCTGATTGGATTAATTCACAGGAGCAAGGTTACCCAATTGGGCAAGAAAGAGTGAATTTGGCTACATTTGAAAAAACAATTATAAATTTACTTTTTTTACATTGATAGTTTAACTTATACTAATAGTCCAAGTAGCAAAATTTAATCAAACTAAGCTTTCAGAAGTAGCCCAACTTGGTAAACCTGTTTTGTAACTCTATAACTTGTCAACTAAAAATTGGTTGAGTTATGCAGAACATAAAAACAGACAAAGAAAATAATAATTACCAAAGAAGAATCTAATTCTTGAATGCTGTTTTGGCTAAGGTTTGCAGACTCCAATTTTTGCCACGAAACAGGAACACTCATATCACCACCACATTTTTCAAACAATAACTAAAAGTGAGGAAAGAAAAAGACAAATATAACAAATATCAATTTGCGGATAAAATCAATACCATTAAGATAAATCAACTGAACAATTATTTTTTTTAAATTTGGCTTTTGTAATTGGTAAAATATCTTAGTTTTTCAGCAGATCAACTGAAACAACTCATTTTTGAGGTAGCTTGTCTCATTTTATCATAAAAAAAATTAATGAAATGCATTAAAACTAAAAATGAAATTAAAAACTATCAATAATTCTGTTTAACAGCATATTAACTCCTTATGGGTCATTTAATACCAAAATTATAAAAATATGATAAATGCTATTCTGCTTTCACAATTGAATACCTGGCAGATATTCTATTTTTGAGCATATACATATTTGTGTCAACATGATTACTAGAGGAAGTGATGTGTGTTTAAGTTATATTTTGGAATACAGTTTAATTTAAGAAATTGTAGTATATTATATGGATCATGAAAGTTTTTATGTTGGTTGTTTGTATTTTAAAAAGATTTAGGTGAAGTCACTACATTTGAAGTTTGTTAGTATTGCTGGTAATTTTTTTTATATAAAAATATATTGCTGGTGTTTTAGTATAAAAATGTATTTTTATACTTTCATAGTGTTTTGTTTTTGTTTAGGGGAGTTCACTATTTGCCTGTAGCTGGGACCCTAACAGGTGCTACCACCCCAGATCGAGGTGGACCTGGGAACAACAGCGATTAAGAGGTGGTTTCATGTTCCTCAAAACCTCTCCATCACAGGCCTTACTGCCAGATGCAATTTGTTATGACAACAATTTGTTATGACAAACTTAGGACTAATCAATAATTCACTTATTTCACCATGAGTTTTAAGTATGTTGAAAAAAAAAAAAAAAAAAAAAAAAAATTAAGAATTATATAAAAAGAAAAAAAAAGTCATTAAATCATGAAATATATTCAAAACATTTCCCCAAAATTCATCATAAATATATATTGACATATGAAATAATAAAGTGCCAATTAGCTAAACAGAATTTATAAACAGTTACTTTATAGCTGTTTGTGTAGTTCCTCAGTATCTTTATATAAATACTTAAGTAAAAACATTGTAAATTATTTTTATCTTGAATTTTAATCTAATTAGTCTAATCACAAGTTTCCTTGACCAAATTGGTTCAGATGCTATCCATAAAGACTTGCTCCTGAGATACGAAATGCAAGTCTAAGAAATTACTGAAAGAAGTAAACCTAGCAAAGACTGAAAACTACATCTGAAACATTGTGATAAAAAACAACCAAGATAAAAATGCTAGTCTGAATACTCATTAACTTACGGGGACATTTCAGAGTATTTTGCATTAAAAATAAAGAAATATGATTTTCCAGATTATGTATCCCATAATTGTAGTTTCATCCACCAGACAACTACAATTCTACTTGTCCAATAATAAAATGTATGGTTTCCTTACCTTGACAGATTGTAAACTCCTATTTATAGTGATATGCTGCAAAGTTATCCTCAACTTTTGAAGTCCTTGGATCATGTGAATGGGAACACGATTGATATCAATTTCTGTGAGGTAATTGAACATTCCAATGTCCAAAGGGCCAGGAATTGAATGTGATTGGTGATACAGCTGGAATGTAAATAATTTCTTTTTATGATCATAAAACAAATAAGACAAATCAATAATAATCAATAATTGATATAAAAATGATTAAATCACAAATTCATTACAAAGAAATAAATCAATGTTACGAAGAGAAAAATTAACCTTTAGCACTCTTATTATTTTCCTTTTTACTGCATTCTTTTTCATGGCCTCTCAGTTGCAGCATCCTTATTGTTGATTTCACTAAATGTTGTTTTCTGTTGTCATAGCAGGATATGACAACACAACTATGAAATTCAAACACTATTGTTCAAGCATCAGAATCACCTTTAGTGGCAGCATAAACTTTATGTACAGCAAATGAAGTCACATACAAAGTGATAAAGGTTAAATAGGCTTACATAGGCATTAATAGTGCCAAATCACCAGTCATAGAAAGATTACACAAAAACTTTTAGTAATTTAACAAATGGCAAAATTTAAAAAAAAAAAAAAAAATCAAACAAAAAGGACTAACAATGTTTTAAACCTTATAAAGGAACACAGATATATATACCCAGCTAAATTATTTGAAATCTTTATAATAAAGTTGGAAATTGCTTTGGAGTTTTTATCAGCTACTAGCAATAGAGCCCGGCATTGCCCGGGGATGTAACAGTAAGAGATAGATCAAGTATTGACCATCATAAAGACTGAAAAATAAAATTGACAAAGATTATTGTTTAAGGTTGACGGACACGCATGTCTTAATTAGTTTTTTTTTTTTTGTTTTGTTTATGAATTGGTCAAACCCAAACTCAAACATTGTTTTCAATCGTTATGAGTCTACCGATTGAATAGAATTTTATTATAAACAATTGTCTTGTAAATGGAATTTTTAAAGCATTCTGAATGTAAAAATAAAGAAAAAAGTGTGCAAGACAATAAGAAAGACTACCAAAAAAAAAAAAAAAAAAAGAAAAAAAAGTGAAGTTTTGTTGAAATTGGTTGAAAAATGTAGGAAATCCGATCCCATATATAAATGAACACACACACACACACACACACAAACAACCTGGGTTTTATAATAAGTATAACTCGATATGAGTTGTCCCCTTTCATTCTCGCGATGCCTCTCAATGGTGTTTTCAAATTGATTTTTGTGTAAAAACAATTGTGTTTTTCCAATTTTGGCACTGTCGGAACTAATAAGAAGGTAATTTTCGTAGTCCTGTGAAGTTTTGTTGAAATCGGTTGAAAAATGTAGGAAATACGATCCAATATATAAACGCACAGACACACACAACCTGGGTTTTATAATAAGTATGATACTGACCATACAGGAAGAAAATATGTTTTTATTTGTAATTCACATACACAAATATAAATATGCCAACAAGATATCATTATAAGAACTTGTTGTGCTTTGAATAGACATGGATCTTTAAACCAGACATGCTTTTAAGGCCTATGGCACAGAGTTGGCAGACATGCAAAACTTACATTTTGTTGCTATTAGGTTTATTTTTATTTGCATGTCTTTTCAGCTGACTTGCAAACATTTTCCACAAACGTGACATGAATTATCAGTACTTAATGCCATTTTTATGTTGGTCAGTGCTCTGATATAATTTGGTTGGTTGGTTGATTTTGTTTAGCAGCATATCAATCTCTATGGGTTATTTAATACTGAACTACATATTTTGAACACAATTTTATGCCTTCAAATACAGATAACAGGTCTTGTTGGTAACTTCACTATAAATGGGTATTGTTGGTTGATTTTATTTAGCAGCATTATCAAACTCTATAGGTAATTTAATGTCGAAATTTAAATATTTTATGCTTTTGATTACAGATATTTTGAACATAATTTTATACTCCCAGAGTAAAGGCATGTTTTTTAGATATATATCTTGTAGATCATAAAATGTGTTATTGCTAATTTGACTATAAAAATGTCTTTTTATATTTTTTTAGTGTTGCATTGTCATTTTGCTATATAGTTGTATTGTTATTCATTTCATTACAAAAATAAACTTGATTTTTGTTTGAGGGTTCACTATTTGCCCATAGTTGAGACCTTAACAGGTGCTACCACCTGGGTCAGTTTGAACCTGGGAACAAAAGCAGTTAAGAGGTGGCCCCATGCTCTTCAAAACCTCCAATCTCCTGATCAGAGGCCTTGCTGCTGGATGCAGTTTATCATCATACCCAGGAATTTGCATAGGACTCATTGCTACAGCCAGGCATTCAGTATGTGAAAAGATTTTGTGATATCAAACAATTTGTGTGCATAAAATGTTTAAAGTGGAGAAAGACACACACACACATTTTACATATGCACACATTACTTAACCTTATATACAAATAACTCTTATTTACATATCTCCATCCATCTCTCTCCACTTGGGATTAAATACTTATCATTTGCTAGAAATTTGTAACTATCTCAGCCACCCAACAAACCTGCATCACTTGACAAGTTTCTACTGCTAAAAAAAAAAAAATAAATAAATAAAATGAAAAGTTGGTAGCTAGAGTACATTTAAATTTCTTTCAAAAGAAATTCCATATTTAAAACATTTTCAAATGAAATTAAACATTTTTTAATCTTAAAAAATATTTTTAAAAATAGCATGTCCCAAATTTTTATTCTTATTAAAATAGAATCCTTACAAATGGAAAACGTAAGCAATTGGAGCTTATGTATATGAAAGTTTAAACTAAAAATTTATAAAGATGTGAAATTGAATATTTCGAGCATGAAAAGAACAGTTAACAAGTTCATGCATAACATTTAGCAAGTGTGGAGAGTTCAGTCCTCACTATTTGCCCAGCTGAAATGAACTTAGGCAAAAGTAACCAGATTAGGTTACTTCACAGTATAATAGTATTTAGCAAGCTCATCTGATACATAGTATGTGTGTGTGATCTTGTGTTATACTAAACTTAACCGAAAGTGACTATTATAACATCATGGTTAGCAAGATTATCTGATAAACCATTTTAAGAGTGCATTGACTATGACTTTGTGTTAAACAATACAAAAAGAGAAAGAATAATTAATTATTAAAAGGTCCGGCAAAGCCTGATCTGGCAATCTTTGAGCAAAGATAAAAAACTCTGGAAAATTTCTTAATTTTGGGGTATTCTATGTTAGACTAAGTTCTTGGAAGTAACAGGTTGTGTTTCATACAATGATTTGAGGATTTTAACAGATGTACAAAAAGTGTCAACTTAAACTACAAATGTATGTACAAATCAAATAAATTAATTCAATATTTCTCCACTCTAAATTACTTAAAAAAAAGAAAAGGCATTTATTTCCAAATTATGTTTGCTGCTGGTGCAGGAAGCTTATTTAATTACATTTACCCCTTTTTCTAACGCACTTAGAAATGAATGAGCAGCCAACAGACCTTTTCATCTATTGTTTAAATATAACTCTGCAGAAATTGAAACAAATTGGCTAATTAAAATGTAATAAGAGAATATTACTCAGATAGTGTAACCAATAAAAGAAAAAAAAAAGACCAAAGATAGCAGTGAACAACAGAGCTAATTAACAATTAAAGAGTTTTAAGTAGCCAGATAACATGTGGGAATACTAGTAGCACAAAACAATGATGCTCTATAATAGGAAACCAATGGTTCAAAATTATTAAGAAATATATTTGATAAAATAAAAAGCATATATACATAATTAATATGATAGATTAATCACAAAGAAAAAAAAGAAAAAGCTTCTTTTGTTTTGAATGAGAGTTTTTGATCACTGGATAAAGAATATCAAATGAATACCAGTGAGATCTCTTGACTGTGTGTTCAACTGATTACAAGTGAGCCATATCTAAAACACTGAAAATATTAAGTTTAAAAGATTTGACCAAGTTCTAAATATGCACATCAATTTTAAACAATGGATTTTATAAAAATTAGAATAACAAGTGGGTATTTTTTAATAATTTAAATACTCAACATGTTAAAATATTAGGAAAATTAATGATAAAGTAGAAATTTTCTATGTCACGCATTTCATCCAACAAAGTTGTAAAGGACAAAATACAAGATGTTAAAGTATATAATTAAAACAAGATACCAGATTTATTACATTTGCTTAACAGTTAATGATAGAAAAATTTGTAATAAGTTCTATCACATTAAATATTGGATTCATTCCAATAGGAATTTGCTATTGAAAATCTGGTTATTCTTTTGTTACTTTATTACTTATAAATATTGTAAAGAAATCCTTTTGTTCTTATTACATTTAATGTCTTGTCTATTCTGTCCATCACTGTCACCTCAGTTTATATCAACTGATGATCATTATCTAGACAGATTTCTTTGGATTATTTCTAAAGGAGGACAAGAGACATTTATTCCTAAAGGAGGACAAGAGACATTTATTCCTAAAGGAGGACAAGAGACATTTATTCCTAAAGGAGGACAAGAGACATTTATTTCTAAAGGAGGACAAGAGACATTTAATTAAATAAGGCAATTTTTAAAACAAAACTGTAAGTTACTAAAAAGTATAAAATGTCCAGTTCAGGATTATCTTTATTTTATTGATAGAGTTAATAGTTTGGGAGGCAGAGTTAAGAGTCTAGGAGGTAATATGTCAATACTCAAATAAAATCTGTACAAAAGTGTGTAGAAGAGACTTAAACTTTACTCATGATTGTCAAACTAAACTGTCAAAATAACAATACAGGATGGGGAAATGGCACATCACATTATCTCAATTTTCAAGCAATTAACATCTGTGCAGTAACTCAAACCTAACACTTTATATAATCCACTTAGAAGATAGACTTCAGATTTTTTTTTTTTTTCCTTTTTTGGACAGCAGTCAGAACCCATTGAAATTCAAATATACATCACTCAAATATTTCATGGTTTGACAAAAATCCAGATAAAAACTATTCCTTTTGTTCATGAATTCTCCTCTCAAGACTTTCAAATCTTAAGCAAAGACTGGACTATTGTAAGATTGCACTTTTCACTTATACATTAAACTATTAAATTGCCTAAAAGAT